CGCGATCCTAACGGTCGGAAACGGCTAGTCCGGCCTAGCCTGTGATGTGCCCAACAGTAACAAACTGAAAATTTCATCCCAAAACCCCTATAAATACCCTATCTCCCTCACAACATTCTTCACTCTTCTACATCTCTTTCAACTCTCAACTCCTCTCACTCTCATAACTCTATCTCTCTCTAATTCTTAGTTTTCTCTCTCAATTCCTAACTTTCTCTTATCTGCTTCATTTACAATTTTCAATCAAATTCCACTACATCCCCAAAAAACAAAGGTACTGACGTACTGTGCTCATTATTTTTTTGTATAATATTTTGTTTCTATTTAATGTTTATTTACATTGTTTATTGTTTATAAACCCTTTTATTAACATTAATTTATGTTTTTTTTTACAAAAAATGGCGGAAGAAAATTTTTCTGATTTTCCTGATTTTAAAGATCAACCAATTTTCAATGATGAAATTTTGATGCACAACTCCAACCGTACTGATGCAGATAATGTTCTGGTTAATAATCAATCGGTGCACAATGAGGATGTTGGAGAACGTGTCAGGGAAAATAGACTGTGCGCACTGCTCCTGCATGGCAACATTTGACTGAGGAGCTACGACCTAATCCAAAAACATGTGAAGTTGAAATGCGTGCGGTATGTCAATATTGAAAAAAATACTTTTCTAACAAAAAGGTGGGGGTATTGACCATCTTGATATACATTGGAAAGCATGTATACCATTACACCAAAGTGGTAGTGTAGATTCCCGCCAACAAACACTTTCACTCGCAGCACAAGGTTTACAAAATTTTAATTATGATGCACAATGTGCTCGTGAGGCACTAGCTAAATTTTTAGCTAGTGCCGAATTACCAATTTCTTTTACAGATGATTCAGCATTTGAAGAATTTATTCAGACAGCATTTTATCCACAATTTAAATGGGTAAGTAGAAACACAACTATAGCTGATTGCATGAAAGTTTTTTATGCAATGAGACAATCACTTGTTGATAATTTTAGGTCTTTCAATGCTACAATCTCTTGCACTTCTAATCTTTGGGAGGGTTGTAATAAAACTGGTTATTTATGCATCACAGTGCATTATGTTGACGGGGATTGGGTTTTACAAAAGCGAATTATTGGTTTTCATTTATGTCCTTTTCCACATAATACAAATGCTATTTTTTTATTATAATGGAAATTTTTAATTTTTATGGCATTGAAGATAAAGTTTTAACAATTACTTTTGATAATATATCAGCAAACACCACTGCTATGAATAATGTTCAAAGCAAATTTGAAACTACCTTTTGGTGGAGAATTTTTTCATCAACGTTGTGCATGTCATATAATAAATTTAGTAGTACAAGCTAATATTGAATCTATATCCCATCATCTAAAAAAAATTAGAAAAGCGTTATCTTTCATATCTAGTTCTGAAACTCGGCTCCAAGAATTTTGACAATAGAATAGCCAGATGCGGCCAAGAAAGTTTCTAACAGATGTGAGACATAGGTGGAACTCCACCTACTTAATGTTGAAAACTGCAATTCCGTATCAACAAATCATCACTACGTACGTGAAGAGTAAGCATGGTGAGTATTTTATTTATGATGCATATCAGAAAATTGGTGAGTACTTTTTAAAATTTTTACAAGTATTCTACAACGCTACCGAATTACTTTCTAGTGTGTATTATCCTACTGCGCATCTAGCTTTGCATCAATTATTTAATATTTCAGAAACATTTGCTTATTACAGGGATACTGATCTTTTTGCACCCATAGGTTATGAAATGGAAGCTAAATTTAAAAGTTATTGGGCCATTTGTCCTATTTTATATGCATTAGTAATAATTTTAGATCCTAGATGTGGATTAGATGGGACTGAATGTTTGATGTCTGCTACAACAGATAATTTATATATTGATATGGAACTAACCATTGACGATGCTAGGAAAATGTTAGAACACTTATTTGCATTGTATGAAAAAAAATACGAAACAGGACAACAAGAACAGGCAACTTCGACGTCAATGAGCAATTCATGGCCTAAAGTTCATCGTGGAGTTTTTTGAAGAGGAAGGAGAAAGCATCAGGATTGTCATCAATACATGGAGCGTCTTCAGAATTAGTCAAATATTTTGAATCAAATTTTGTAATTGATGATGACAAATTAGACATCTTACAGTGATGGAAGAGCAAGACAGATTATTTTCCAACACTATCTATGATAGCACGTGATATTCTGACAAGTCCATTATCAACGGTGGCATCGAAGCTAGAATGATGGGCAAGAGCCACATACGGTTTAACAAAGCTGATATGCTGAATAATTAAATAGCTTTGACATATTAATTAAAGCATAACAATAATTAAAAAGCTATGAAATAAAAAAAAATAAAAAATAAAAAAGAAGCTCTGACATATTAAAATTAAAAAAGAAGAAGATCAGCTCTATATATCCTTGGTCCGATACAGAGGTTAAAGTGGCTTCGTTGACGATGAGTGGTTTAGTAGCTACGTCTGATCAGTATATAGTATTTGTCCAACTCAGATTGCAGAGAAGCAAAGAATAGAATTATTCAGATGTAGAAGTAATTTCTTTATTCTTATTCAGTTCAAGAAAATGTATTTGACTAATTTCGCTCCAGGCACCGGCAATCAAATCTGACCGTTCTCTCTACTCTTGCTTTGTTCACTTAATTACCCGGGAGAAACAGTGTTATCAGAGCACCTTTTGCTTTTTTTTTTTTCTCTCTTTTTTTCTTTTTCCATAACTTTTGCCTTTAACCATCCGTTTAGTTACGTTTGTCAAAAGCTTTTCTTAGAATTAACACTGGATGGACAGGCAATTAGGACAGACGAACTGTGTTACTATATTTGTATATAGAATGAGAGTGACTTTGAGAAGAGAAGCATCTAATAATTTAATACCTATCTAGTACTCCATTTATAACTATTATTCCCTTATTAATATCTCACGCCAAAAAGCAAACGCGAAAAACCAGATCATTTTCCGATAAGGAGATGTCACTTTCTTGAGTCTTAATTATCTGTCTCCTATAATAAAATAAAATGAATCAACCCCACTATTCCATGTTAGGCACAGAAATGCAAGAAGAACAAAGCAACAGCAATAACACTGACAGCAGCAGCACTTCCACCGCAGCCGCCGCCATGACCCAGCTGCAAAACTCTTCAAAATAAAACCCTTCCTTTTCCTCGCCTCCGCCGCTGTTGGCCTCCTCACCGGCTTAAATGACTGCATCTACGCCTACGGCGTCGCACGCCTCCCCGTCTCCACCTCCTCTCTCATCATCGCCTCCCAGCTCGTCTTCACCGCCGCCTTCGCCTACCTCCTCGTCAAGCAGAAGTTAACATCGCATTCCGTGATCGCCGTCATTTTGCTTACTATCGGAGGCGCCGTCTTGGCGTTCCACACGAGCGGCGACCGGCCTAAGGGGGAGAACAGCAAGGAGTACTTGGTAGGGTTCCTCATGACTTTGGGGGCAGCGGTGCTCTACGGCTTCATCCTGCCGTTGATGGAGCTGGTCTACAAGAAGGCGAAGCAGGAGATTACTTACTCCCTGGTGTTGGAGATTCAGATGGTCATGTGTTTCTTCGCCACTGCTTTTTGGACCGTCGGCATGATTGTCAATAACGATTTCCAGGTTTGCCTTTTTTTTTTTTTTAAAAAAATTTTGTCGTTTTTTTTTTTTTTTTTTTTTTTTTTTTTTTTTTTTTTTAAAAAAAATTTGTCGATTATTATTGTTTCTCTTTTTTCTTTTGTTGTTGGGCGATCAATCAGCCGAGAATTATTGATGAGACTTTCAAGTACTTTTTCCTTTTAAGCTATTCCAATGAAAATGTGTCGGACTTTTTAGAGAAAAATAGAGAATTTGGAAATTAGTTAGACCTTTCAACCATTGGATCTTTCTGATCAAGTTCTATCAAATTTTGTGCGTATAATTCACCCTCTTTTGCAAAACTACATATATTTTCTTTACCACAAACGGTCAAAAAATAAAAAATAAGAAACAAAGCTAATGTTCGATTTGCTGGATGATGATAATATGATGTAATCATATGCTTAATAAGCTCTTTCCTTTTTATTTATTTTTATTTGTTTGCAGGGTATTCCAACTCCAAGAGAAGCAAAAAAAAAAAAAGAAAAAAAAAAATTGGAGCTAGGGGAGACCAAGTACTGCGTGGTGCTTTTGTGGAGTGCAATAATCTGGCACATATAAGAGGAAAGTTTAATGTATAGCCAAACATTATGGGTGCGTTTGGAATTGTTTCCAAAACGTTTTTATTTTTTGTATGAAAATAAAAACAAAAATGTTTTTATTTTTATTTTGGACTCATTTCTGAAAATCGTTTGGTAGTTTTATTCAGAGATTGATTTCAGTTTAAAAAAAAACTGAAACTGCGTTTGGTGGTTTAATTTTTGAAAACATGTAATAATATATTAAATAAATAATATTATTAAATATATTAAATAAATAATATATTAAATATATTAAATAAATAATATATTAAATATATTAAATAAATAATAT